CTGGAAGAGGGGCGGGTATGGTGGGCCTGCTGGTCCAGCCTCAGAGCTCTAGGCCCCCCAGCCTCAAGACTCTCCTGGGATGTGGCCTTCCCTTCACACCAGCCTAACCAGAGAATGGGCTGCTCCCCCAATACTTCCAAGGCAGAGGAACTGTGAAGATTAGGAAAGATAAGGTGAGTGATGTGCCTGTGATCTTCAGGTGTTCACAGTAACCCAGCAATCACTGGCTCAGGGAGCTGTGGAACTGTGGTCAACTACGGAAATTACTAAGAACACAAAGAAATACAAAGACAAGAAAATGATGAACAAGGACTCCAGCACAGAGTTAAGTTAACATTACAACCTACAAGAAGCAAAACACAGAACTGCAAGTACATGTTCATTCCCATACAGACAAATCCTGAAAAAAGACAAAAAAATCAAGTGTTCTTCTCAAGCAGCCTGCATATACATGGAAATTATTTTTCTCTCCATTTTTCTGAGTTTTTAAAAAGTATAATGAAATTATAGAAAATGCTTATAATGAAACTTTATACCTTCATTTTTAATCTGAAGTCACAATTTAAAATGACTATTTTTTTTTTACTATTTTAGAATATTAACACTCAAACCCTTGTAGATTTTAATTTAACACACACACACACAAAAGCCAACAATATAAGTTGGCTTGAAAGCTAACTGACCTAACAATCATTCAGGCAACTAAAAATTAGCACTCTGAATCAGAACACAATTCCAGGAAGGAAAAGGTTTAAAGATGTCCCAGCAGCAAGAAAAGAAAACTCCATACAAGTACTAATGACAGTTTACTTTTACCAAACAGCTTATCAAGTGATCTGTGTAAATACTGCAAATGTTACAAAGCCCCTCAAAAATCCCAACATTATTTTTACAGATTAGAAACGAATAAAGGCCAAAAACAACACCAATAATTCAATTAAAATAACTCATGCTTGTGTTTACATAAAATTTGATGAGCATAATATATTCGTCACACCACTGCAATTATTCTCTGAAAATAATACTCTAAATATTATTTTGACAATGTAATTACAGTTTTTACCTCAAGAATGGTAACAAAACGCTGGCACAGATACACTGCTAAAAATCCACCAAGAATAAGGTTCTCACAGAGAAACAGTCACAACACAATATGGGTGCTTTATTAAGAACCAGAATACTTTTTAAAAGGCTTGTATTAGGCTTGAACTAACATACTATAAATTTTTTCTAAGTTTCATTGTTGAATCCAAATTTCACTATGGAATTCCAAACAAACTCAGGAACACTGTTAACTGCCCTTTTCAAGACAAAAATGAGAAGTAAGATTTAACTTCCCTTCCCCTCCTCACCTCGGTAATATCCTTCCAACTCTGCCTACAAACACAGCTCATCTATGTAAAGCTGACACAACTGGAAAGTACAGACCTAAATCAGGGGAAAGGCGGCCCATTCTCATGGACTGGAAGACTCCATTATCAGTAAGATGGCAGTCTCCCCAGTGGATCTACAAATTCCACCAAATTGCTAGTATGCACAATATAGAAATAAATCTTAAAACTTAATAGCAGGGGTGCCTGGGTGGCTCAGTCAATGAAGCATCCGCCGTCAGCTCAGGTCATGATCTCCTGAGAGATCATGGTCCTGGGATCAAGTCCTGGATCAGGCTCCACATTCAGTGGGGAGTCTGTTTCTCCCTCTCTCTCTCTCTCTCTGCCTCTCCCCATGCTCACACACTCTCACTCTCTCTCTCAAATAAATAAATAAATAAATCTTAAAAAACAAAGCTCAACCAGAAAAAGATAAACAGCCCTACTAAAAACTGGGCAAAGAACTTGAAAAGGCATTTCCCCAAAGACAATTTACAAACGGCCAAAACAAGTACCTAAGATGTTCAGCATCATTAATCATGAGGAAAACACAAATCAAAACCACAATGAGATACCACTTCACAACCATCAGGTGACTATAACCCCCCAAAAAGGAAAACAAACACTGGCAAGGATGTGGAGATACTAGAATGCTGTACGTTGTTGGTAAAAATGTTAGAGTTCAGCTGCTGAGGAAAGCTGGGCATTTCCTTATCAACTTAAATAGAAAATTGACCCACAGCCATTCTACTGCTAGGTATATACCCCAAAGAACAGAAAGCCGATACTCCAATAAATATGTATACAGGCATGTGCAGAGCAGCGCTGTTCGAAACAGCTGAACAGTGGTGCCAGGGCCAAATGGTAGAAGCAACACAAATGTCCACCACTGATGAAACGAATAAACAAAATATGGTCTGTGCACACAATGTAGTAGTATTCAGTCATCTAGAAAAATGAAGCACTGATACGTGTGACAACATGTGTATACTCTGAAACACTCTGCTTTGTGTGAGAAGCCAGACAAGGAAGGTCCCTAATTCTGATTCCACTTATATGAGAAATCCAGAATTGGTAAATCCACAGGCAGAGAATGCAAGGGAGGGGAGAACAGAAAGCAGCTGCTCAGTGGGTAGAGGGTTTCCTTTTGGAGCCATGACAATATCTGCAATTAGACGTGGTGGCTGCATGACACTGCCAACACTCTCAATACCACTCTGCTGTTCACTTTAAAGTGGTTACTTGTATGCTGTGTGAATCTCATGTCAGTAAAAAATAGATTACTTAATTAAACTTAACACAACCGCATCTGCCAAAACTGCAAACTGTTCTGAACACACCAACACAACACAGGTGCATGAAGACGTGCCCGCTGGTCAGCGCGGATCAGTGAGAGGCCAGACCACCAACCACACAATCCATTTATCCGTCAATGACAAACTGGGTCATAAAAACTTTCAAAAATCAGCTCCTTTCAGTATTCTGTGAGGTCATGGACTTGCTTCAGTAAAGAGAAAAATCAATCCCGTGAAACAGTATTTATCAGATAAACACCACACAACCAACATGTCTTTCGTGGCTGATCTGGGATGGAGCAGAGCGGCCCATGGAGTCCAGGGAAGACAGGAGGGCACATTATGTGCTGACGGAAGGACGGGGAGCAGAGGGAAAGGGTAATTTCAGGAGAAAAGGCACTCAGTGGGCGCACGGGGATGGGGCTCAATGCGCCAGGGGAGGGCTGGCTTGCTCTGATGGCTCTTTAATCACAGCGTTCATGTAGTGCTTCCTCTTGGGTGTCTTATTTAGGAATACATCATTACCAGGGAAACCCACTCCTGCCCACCACAGTGCATCGGCGCTGCCAGCGACACACTATCCACCACATCAGTATTTTTCAGTAATTATAAAATGCAGTACATTCTGAACTCTCTTTCTGAATTACCATACCACACACAGTCTTCAAAAATAGCTGCTTTTCCATGGGACAGAGTGAAATCTGGATTTTTGCTGGTTTTTCTTCCCCCATTTGATCACTGAGGCTTCCGCTGTATCATAAAATGGAGCTACAAAAAGACCCTTAAACAGATATCAAAAATACTTTCCAACTAAGCCCTACACCCTGTTGGTTTCTTAACAATACCTGAGAAATTAGTGCTGTCCAAAAAAAAAAAAAAAAGTAGAGCAAACACTTAGTGTGGAAATTCTTAGACCATTTAATTAATTGAAAAGATAGTTAAAATTTCCCAAAGGAAGAACTCTAAAACAAGTAGAAAGACACAGGAATTTGAATAAAGGAGCTTTACATGAGAATGGTAAGGACCCACAGAATAGAAGGAAAATTAAACCAAACCGGGCAGCACCTCTGACACCTGAGGCAGCCCACAGTACTCGGAGCCTCTGCTTCTCCACCTGTGAAGAGACTGCCACCTCGAGTTCTCTACCTGCTTCCAACAGCAGCAGGTATAGCAACATGAAGGGCAGTAGGCCTCACTGTTCAGCCCGTTTCGGCACTGACAGATATGGAAATCAATCTGTAAATCAGATCATATTTTACAAACAGCTGGAGGCTTCTCCTTTAGAGGAAGCATTTGTTCGATTATTATTAAAAAGAATTCCTCTAACCCACAATCTAGTACATCTTATAAACTGGACATTTACAATAAGAGTTTATTATTAAATGACTGAGGTTTGCCCATAAGTATCTCAAATCACTGGAAAAAGAAACTGCAAGTTAAAATTCTGTTTTCTGTCATATTACAATAATAACCTGTCTGAAGGACAAGTATGGATGTTAATAGTTTAAGAACCAAAAATGTCCCAAAAAGTCTAGAAAAGCTTCCTGGTCTTCTAATTGAGAGGCTTCATTTTTCTGTTAATCCCTTATCAACAGCTATTAACAATGAGAACCTCCTTCCCCCTTGGTCACACCATATATTTAACTTACGTAACATACTGTCACTGCACCGTAAACACGCAGAGGCAAAGATTTTTCTGTCTGCTCTGGTGACCGTTCGGATCACACCCAGCACTGAGAACAGGCACGCCACATCCACACGTACCGAGAGACACTGAACGACTCTGCTCAGGCTGCCCTAACATGGCACCACAGACTGGGTGGCTTACACAGTGGGAATTTACTTTCTCAAATGTAAAGGCTAGAAGTCCAAGATCACAGTGTGGGCAAGGCTCACTCCTCTTAAGGCCCCTCTCCTGGGCTTGCAGACGGTGGTCCTGTCCCCATGTCCTCATGTCATCATCCCTCTGTACGTGTCGGTGTCCTGACCTCCTCTTCTTACAAGGACAGCAGGCATAATCTTAGGGCAAACCCATGTGACTCCACTTCACCTTATTTATCTCTTTAATGGCTTGGTCGCCAAATACAGTCACATTCTGAAGTGCTAGGGGTTGGGACTCTACCATATGGACTTGAGGAGAGTCAGGGGGTGCAATTCAGCCCACAGGAGAGCAAGGAAAGGAAGTTGTTGCAACTTTCTTTTATGATAATTCACTAACATCACTGAATAAGTGTCTCTGTATCATGAAATACAAATCATTTGCTTTAACTCAAAGTTGTGGTTTTTAAATCCTTTTCAAAAGTACAAATAACCCATGAATCATACTGCAAATTACCTGTCAACAGGGATTCCTGTTCCACCCGCAGTTCACGAAAAAGAAGAATCAAATCAACAGCAACGCCAATTGTATCCAAGTTCCTGTAAAACGTTTTTAAAAAAAGACAAAGTCAAACCCATTAATTTTCTTAAACCTGCATTTCAAATGATGATCCAGGGAATGGAGCTGTGACTTCTGGGTCACGGTGTGTGTGGTAAACAGAATCGTGGCCCCTTGAGCTGTCCACATCATAATCCGAAAGCCTGTGAATGTGTCACATCCCACAGCAAAGGGGACCTTAGGTCATCGGTAGATTCAGGATCTTGAGATGGGAAAATGACCTTGGACTAGCCAGGTGGGCCCACAACAGTGCCAAGCGTTCTTAAAAGAAGAAAACGAGAGGGGAGGATGTCAGAATCAGGGAAGGGGCTGTGAGCCCAGGAACGTAGGCAGCTTCTAGAAGCTTCTAGAAAAGGCCAGGAAATGGATTTTCCCCTAGAGCCTCCACAGGGAACTCAGCCATGTTGACCCATTCTAGCCTTCTGAATTCCCAAACTGAAAGATAACAAATCTGTGTTGTTTCACGCCACTAAGTGTTTGGTAATTCATCACAGCAGCAGGAAGAAAGTAATCCAGATTTGGGCAGAGGAAGCAGTGGTGCTGCTATAAACATCTGACCGTGTGGGAGTGGCTGGGGAAGCTGGCAGGAACCTGGTGGTGGGCAGGGGCTGGAAGAATAGTGAGCAGCACCTGAAACACTCTGATGCCTTTTCTGGCTGCCAGAGGCACGGTCCGTGAGGGCTCAGGATGAATCGAGGAACCTAGCACTAGGAAACGGGGAAAGGGGATCCTTTCCCCACAGGGGCAGAAGCTCAGCAAAATCATGAACTTGGGATATTCAGCTGAGCACATTTCCAAACCACACGCTGACGGTGTGATCATCTAATAAAATGCCAGGGGCAGAGGTAACAGAGATGAACAGGGAACCAGGTCTTGCTTCGGGGAATTCTCAGTCTAGCCAGACGGCAAAAGGTGCTAAAACTGAGACAGTCACTGGCAAGAAAGTGTGCTCCGCAGAGAAAGCCAAGGGGCTGGCTGGATAACCTTTTCCTGGTGCCCTGGAAGAATCAAAAGGTGATAGTGTTTAGTCCCATGGCAGGAGCGGCTCTTTGAAAAGATTAAGGTGTGACTCACTGCCCTCTGTAAGCTCGGCAGAACCCAGGAGTAAGAAGGGGTTATGGAGCAAAGCTCTGTGGAGGACCCTCTAGTCTAACGGTGGGAATTCCCATGACATACATGTGAGATTTACAAGGTTGCTGAAAATGTTTTACTGGTAGAAACTCTGCCAGCTTAGACAAATGCACAGAGGAAAGATGAAAATTTTTAAATTAAAAAAAAAAAAAGTATCAGACTCCCAAAGCCAGACTTCCAGGCAGGAAGTAAGCTGATGGTTCGAAGTACTCAGGTGAATACATGTGCTCCCTTCAGGAAAAAGGAAGGGTGGCTCTGAGGCCAGGGCCAAGGGCATAGCCGCAAGCCACAGACAATTCTTCCCAGGCCTTAAAACCGGAGATTTGCCCAACGTGATTCGGAAATTGCTTGGGATCAGTGATTCCTCTTCCCTTCAATTTTCTCCTCTTTCAAAGGATAATGTCTAAAATGGTTATCCTAGGCCTGCCCCCAAACTGCATTTGGGGAGCAGAGAACTTGTCCAGTTCCACAGGCACACAGACAAAGAGGAATTCTGTCCCAGATGGGAGCACATCCAGAGTCTGACCCCTAAGTAATTTAAACAACTGGATAATGAGATTTGGGACTTCTCGGCTGATGAGACTTAGATGAGATTCTGGACTTGAGCTGATGCTGTCGGGGTCAGAAATGTGGGGCCTCAAGAAGCAATGAATTCATCTTTGAATGACCTTTGAACACGCCACAGGTGGACCACGGTGAGGAACAACGGCCTTCCAAAAATGTCCACACCCACACACTACACCCTGGAACCTGTTAATACGCTATCTAACGTGGCCAAAGAGATGTGGTATGCTAAGAAATATATTTTGTGATCTTTGTCCTCCATTCCTGTCACAGAGCTCCTAAAACCCTTGGAATTTCTGGTGTGACAAGGCATCTTTTGTTTTTCACAACAAGCCCCTTTCAACATTTATGTTTATGCTGATATGTGGTTCTCACTGGGCCTCTAAGGTAGCTTCACATTGGAGTGTGGCTGCCAGAGGAACCAACCAAATGATTACGGAGCTGTAACATTCAACCCAAACCTCCAGACCTCTGGGGAGGAGAAGGATCTGGAGATTGAGTTCGATCACCCACAATGATTTTACCAATGAAGCCTGTGTGATGGAACCTCCATAAAAACCCCTACTAAATGACAAGTATGGAAAATTTCTGTGTGAGTTGGTGAACACATCAGTGCTAGGAGGATGGTGGCATGCCCAGGGGGGCATGGATGCTCTGTGGCTACCCACTTGTCCTGTGTGCCTCTTCTCCTTGGCTATCCCTAAGTTGTACCCTTTATAGTAAACTGGTAACAGTATGTAAACTGCTTCCCTGAGTTATGTGAGCCATTATATTGGGTGATCAAACCTGAGGGGTGTCATGGGAATCCCCAAATTTATAGCCAGCTAGGCAGGAATGTAGCTTGGGCACCTCGTTTGCATTTGATGTGGTGCTGTCTTATGGGACTGAGCTTTTTAAGTTACGGAATCTGATGTCTCTGACTCCAGGTGGGTGGTTGTCAGAATAGAACTGAATTGCTGGACATCCAGATGCTGCTGAATATCAAAATTGGTCAGAAAATATCATAAGAGACCTTTTAGATATGATTAAATTAATGGTTTTGAGATGGAGACATGATCCTAGCTTATCTGAGTAGGCATCATGTAATTCTGAGTCCTTATCAGAGGGATGCAGGATGGTCAGTCACAGTTACTGGAAGATGCTATGGTGTTGCTTTGAGCATGGGAGGATGGAGCTGTGAACCAAGAACATAGGCAGCATCTAGAAGACAGAAAAACAGAAGAATGGATTCTCTTTGAGAGACCCCAGAAGGAACTGGCCCTACTGGTAGGCTCACTTGAGCTCACTGAGACTAATTTTCAACTTCTAACTACAAAATAATAAATTTCTGTTGCTTGAAGCCACTAAGTTTGAAGCTATTTGTTATAGCAGCAAAGGAAACTAATATAGGTCCCTACCTTCACTTCTCAACATGAATCAGAATTAAGCCAAGATGTTCACTCCTTAAAGAACAAGACGGTCAGGGTTGGTGTGTCCACAGCAGGATCCTCTCTCCCTTCCCTAAGGCCAGGGAGTCAGAGAGCCACTGCTCCCTTGTTCTTTACTTATCAGGCTGGTAGGAAAAGTAGCTCAGTGCCTGCCTCCCAGAAAAGAAGCTGTACCACTTCTCCTGCTCTTGCCTCTACACCTGCATACAGAAGGCTACCAGGCCAATGCACCCACTGGCTATTTCTATATGGCCACATACTTTAAAAGAGAAAGAGAGAGAGAGAGAGAGAGAGAGACCGACCAAAGAAAAAAGAAAAGTATAATTTCACGACATGAAGATTTTATGAAATTCAAACTTCAATGTTCACAAAAAAAGCTGCCCTGGATCACAGACATGGGCATGCATTTACATATTCTCTGTGGCTGCCTTCACACTAGGACAGAACTTAGTGTTCTAAGTTCTTAGGGACAGAGTTCTCAAAGCCTAAACCATTCACCTGGTTCCTGACAGTAAAGCCACAGTGACCCCTACAATAGGGGTCATACTGATGTGAGGAGCTAACAGCTTTGGACAGTTTTGAGTACTTCCTGAAACTTCACAGGACTCAGAATATTTGCTTTGCGGTTATACCCCAGTCCATCTACAAAATATAACTCCAAGTCCACACATGGGCAGCACTCAGAAGATGTAAAGGGATCTAGGCCTGTGATCCCTTAGCATCACACCTTTTGATTAACTCCTTATTAACTTAAAATAAAGCACCAGAAAACTCCATAATGGCTGCAATCTGAATCCTGACAGGCTCAGAAATAAGTGACTGTTGTTAGAGTCAGCGTAGAATGTTTTGTGTTTCTAACTGGAAAAATGATTTTTCCAGGAGCTGATGTCCTACCTGGTTGGAATTTCCTGCTAAAAATCAACTGCGAATAACAATCTAGTCCTAGAAGTAAAGAGGCAGAAAAAGTAACGTCTTCATATGTTCGTTTTCGTTTCTCCCCAACCATGGCTGCACATGACACATATACCATGGCCACATAGAGTGCCTGCTTTGATGGCCCTGCTACAAGACAGCTGCTTTTTCATTCACCACAGTATTTATTCTTGCAAAGTTTGAATTTTTATAGTGTACATATTATTTTTACACTCAGAAAAAGAAATTAATTTCTAAGACAGTTATATCATCACCATACTTTTATTGCGCTATAGTTCCTGAGGAGCAGAAACACAGTTCCGGGGCAGACCAGGTGCACAGCACAGTAGGCAATCATGTAAGTGATCTCATTTCAAACGCCCGACAGCCCTGGGTGGGAGACACTGCTTGCGCTGACGTACAGAGGAGAAGACTGGTTCTCAGAAGGATTGAGGCCCTCATTCCAGGTCCCGTGGCTGCTCAAGGGACAGTCACACGCAACAGGGTTGGCAGGTGTCTTGGGGTAGTCACAGCACCACTCCTAACCTGAGATCTTGAGTCAGAGAGAATGTTCCCTGAATGAGGGACTATCAGACAAGTTCCTTAACCCGAGTCACGGTCTCTTCTTTTGTAAAAGTGGAAAAATAGCAGTATGCTATTTCTGGGATTTTTTCTACAAATAAAACAAGACACTGCAGTTAAGCCTTGGAGACAAAGCCCAGGGTGTAGGGCAAGCCCACCAAATGCCTGCCTTCTTCCCCACGAGGCTGGCAAGGCCCAAGGAGAACTCTTCCAGCCCACAGCCAGCGTTTCTGAGGCTTGCCTTTCCCTCCCCCATCACAGGAAAGGGACAAAACAAAGCAGCCTCTGCCCACCTTCTAGCACATGACTAGTTATGTTTTAAAATGTTAACTATTATTAGCAACATTATTACTGTTCCTATGCATTTACCTGCCAATGGACAGCAGGGTCCATTGAGTATTAAACAACCCTGGCATTCTTCCCCCCTCTCCTTTGATCTTAAAAATCTCATTCATCACATCAAAGCCTCAGGTATAAGACTGTCTAGGGAGCAAAGCGGGTCCCTCGAGTGACTTCTGGACCAGCCCAGCTTCACCCACCACAGCAGTGACAGAGAGGCCCGGAGGCTCTGTCTACGTTCAAGTCCAAGAAAGAAAGGCAAGCGTGCTCTCTGTGGCTTCTGACTTCATCTCAAGCGAAAATGTGTAATAAAAAGCAGATTCCATTAAATCAAAGAGGAAAGGTTCTCCATTCCGGGAGGGGAGAGCAATAAGCAAAACAAGAACGGTACCTGGAGATTCTCTCGTTCATCTTAACTTCTTTCAAAAATATGCATGTAATAAAACAGGTGGAAGGAGACCTTGCAACTCCACACGGTCTTCAGGAAATTTTAAATTAGGTCATCTGAGAAATCTACAAACCACGCTCCTTGTTCAAAGTAAACACAAGGGTAATTAATTAAAACACTAAAACTAATTAAAATATTTACAACTAAATAAAGTGAGGTCTAGAACTACGTATGCCTTTAGAAAGCAGGATCTGGGATCAGAGAATCAAGATGGGAGTTATTAAAATCACTGTGCTATATGTCTACAACCAAATACCTCAAAACGCATCAGCAATATCAAAATAACCCCTAAGGTTAGAAACACTCTATTATATGTCATCCCATGTATATGTTCGTCTACAACTGTGGCAAGACTGCAGAGAGCCTGTCCCCTGGAGACTAATCCTAGCCTATGGTTAACGCTGGGTAATAATACCTGATACCAAAACGATTTCTCACCAATACAACAGACCAGTACATATATATATATACACACACATATATATACACACAAGAAAATACAATCAAAGGTACATTTGTTATTACAAAGAACACTACCTGATGGAATTCTGGTTCACAGAACACTCGATACAAGCATTTCGCAGACACCTGAAGCACTCCGTTATGAGCTGCAGGCTAGAAGCCAGATGTTCCACCTGGGATGGGTCTCTGCAGGCCAGCTCGACAGCATGGGAAGATTTCTTCAAGATGTCCAGGACTCTTTGGAAGATAGTCCTGGGTGCAGTTTCTCTGAAAAGGGATAAAAATGTTACAAACCAGAGGGAAAAAAATCTAATTTCCAAATGTCCTATTCAGAAGACTGCTTATACTTATTTCTGCAGGGAAGTGGGCCAGACCTGTCTGCTCTAGCTCCTTAAACTTACAACACAAAATAAAGAGCTACACACACAGAGTGCTTAGACAGGCACCATTCTTACCAACCCTTCCATGTATTATTTAATTAAAGACCATGGAAATAGAGGGGAATTTAAGTAATTTGCCCATATTACTGGGCTAATAATGAGGAGAGCCAGGTTTCCTATAGAAGCAGTCTGACTTGTCACTCCCTGTGACAACCCAAATACCAGTTTCAGGTGAGGGTCTGCGTTTATGGATCTATCCTTAATCAAAACAGAAGATCTATATTCTACGCTCTAGAAAGAGAAAATAACCATTTCCCAGTGCCACCCAATAAGTACTCAAGTACCATTATGAGAAACACTATTCATTAAACTGTCTGGGAGGCCAGACTACTATCCAATCTCTAGATACAGAGAAGCTAGAAACACTTGTGCTGAGCTTGAATATATTCAACTGCACAGATGAGGGAAAGAGAGGAGGAGGGAAAGAGGGGAGGAAGGAGGGAGATAAAAAGGAACAGAGACACAGGGATAGAGATGGGGGTGAGGCGGAGAGAGAGCTGGGGGGAGAAGGAAACAGAGGCAAAGGGGGAGAGGGGGAGCAGGCAGGGATCAAGCAAGTGAGGGCACCCTTCCGCCTAGAGTACATGCCCAGGGAAGAAAAATGAATCTGTGGCCGGTCCCTCTGGGCATCTCAGTTCCTACATGCCTCTCATGCCAGAAGCACGGATTGCACCGGCTATCATTACAGAGCTATGAAGATAAGAATTTTTTGTGCAACATGGCACCAAAATGCAAGCCAACTTCCTCATTCCATGAATCTCCTAAAGAAACAGCCATCTGTTTTACGGTCAGAAGAAAAACTGCTGTGCTGGACAACTGAAGAGATTCTCGAAGATTCCCACTGACCATATGACTGTTCTCCTCTGGCCCTGTCATGGAACCCCAGCACTCTCCACCTCTTCCTCACACTGTGCCAGATTATCAGGGAACTGAGAGTTCATATGGAACCGCTGACGCCAAACCCCCCGAGTCACTGCCAGCTTGGGTGCCAGCAGAGCCCGTCCACACATCTCTCCCTGCCCAAGGCCCAGAGACACGCCCCTCCTTGCACTTCAGGCCCAAGTCCTTGTACTGCAACTGGCACATTTTTACCTCACGGACAGAGGATGTACATTACATTATTTATCAGTGACCAAGTGACCAAATAAAACCGTGAGAGCCCAATGGTACGGTACTTACCCTGTCTCAGTAACTGTAAGAAACAATTACCCATATAAGCCATTTTCAATGACAATTTGCCATAAAGAAAATTCACGAACACTCTCGAGACATCTTTAAGGAGTACTAAATACAGTGCAGATGTTAACATGCTAATACCCAAGAGTTTTAAACATTTCAAAGGATGCCAAGCATGATCAGGATTTCTACAACAAAGAATAAATCTCGTTATCTGCCCCCACTGCACAAAGATGGTGTCATCTCACCTGTGATAAGAGCCAACATGACCTATCCCCCCTGGTCCTTTGTGAGCTACCCTCCCGCAGTACCACGTTCCTACCGTGAATGGTCTTCCCTGAAGCCGCTCTTTGAAACCCTAACATCTCTTTTACTCAACACTGATATCGAGCGCATCAAAAGCTCTGGGCTCAAACTATGGTAGATGCAAAGGCAAGATGGAAAAAAAGGACTGTTCTTGGGAAAATTGGAGAACTGATATTCCAAGCACTGAACAATTAGTAAGTTCATGAACCATCCTATGAATAATTCCCAATGCTACACGATAATTTGACACATAGGTACCAGGCCTTTCTCCTTTGTTACACTTTTAATCAAAACAAAAATGTTTAACTGAGCTAAGGCCAATCATAATATTCCTGAAGTCAAAATAACTATTAATAGTTGTTAGAAAAGTATCAAGGCAGCACAGGGCACTTCACGTTTGAGATGGGAAGAGAAAATAATTTGGGACTGTGATCACTGTCATCTGCTCTCCCCAGGCTGCACACCCATGAATTCCTGAGAACACCAAGCACTTGCAACCCTCTTTGTCTGCTCAAACATGTGCCCTCCCCAGAATACATGTTCCACACAACCCCCACCCAACTCTCTGCCTGGAAAATCCTGCGTCTCCTTATGGAGGCCTTTTGAAAACTCCAAGCCCTGGTGAAACTCCTCTGCTACTCCAGGCAGAACAGTTCCCACCTCTACATCCCACTGGAACTCCCTCCATAAGACTGGACTAATACTTATCCACATTAGATTATACTTGCCTCTCCAACCCAACTATGCTGCTAGCCCATAAATCTTGGGAAAACAGAGCCTGTCCTATTTTTCTCTGTATCTCTAGGGCCCAGGAAGGACATTGACTAATTGTATTTATTCAAGTTTACAGCACTGATGTCCATTTGCATACTCGGTAGCATCTGCCTGCCTCACAGGTGCATAACTGAGCGTGCACCCTCCAGCCAGTCGCCAGGCCAAGGTGAGCAGGGTAAAATTAGCACATGGGGCAGCAGCGACCAGAGAAAGGGAACTATCAAGACATCTGTTTGACTCTTCCATTCCTTCTTTTTTTTAATTCTTTTTTTTTTTTAAGATTTTATTTATTTATTCATGAGAGACACAAAGAGAGGCAGAGACACAGACAGAGGGAGAAGCAGGCTCCATGCAGGGAGCCTGACGTGGGACTTGATCCCGGGACTCCAGGATCATGCCCTGGGCCAAAGGCAGATGCTCAACCACTGAGTCCCCCAGGAGTCCTGACTCTTCCATTCCTGTTAAGAAATTCATATAGTCTTGACTCCGGTATCTCCTTTATCCTCGAAAAAAGGTCATGTTTTCAGTGAGATGTAGAGACCTCTTGACCGATACTTAACAAACATCTAATTTCTCCTCCACACAGGATACAATGGATGAGCTTAAAGGGGGGAATGTGGCCCAATGGACTGTATTTTAAATTTCCTGAGAACAGAGACTATTTGTTAGATGTCTGGCTCCCCTATAAAGGGCAGAAGGAAAATACCATTTCCACTAGAGCCACATAATAAATGGTTATAGACTTCATTCGCCATCTTTGCATACAATACACGAACAACTTTCATCAGATGTGGACAGAAAGAGCTTTCACTCACCGCCAGTAAGAACTCTAACATCTAACAGTCTTGTATATACTTCTTGGCTCCTTGGCAGCCTCGAAAGAAAGCTATTTGGTATAACAGATCCAAAGCAACCCTAATGTCTTCAAGTTCTAAGTTCACTGTCAAGACAGTGCAGCTAAATACATGAAATGATTAACGACAGTAAAACAGTAAAGATCAGTCAATCGTTCCCATGTTACAAATGTTACTATTAATAACAGTAATTGCTGTCATTTCTGCTTTAACCAAACTAACACAAAATATTCACAGACTTTAAAAAGCTTAGCTACTTTATTCACAGAAGGCAGAAAGTACTTAGAGGACAATTAAAATTCAACTGTTAGACATTCTTATTACATAGGAATGCATACCCTGAAGACAATACACAAATGAAATGTTACATTACAGAACAAAAAAAAGGGAGGGAGGGGTTTGAATTCTACAAAAGATAGAATTTCATTTCCTTCAAGTTTGAACAGATCTGTAGGTTTAATCTTGGCAAGTCCCGTCTGAGTAAAATTAAAGAAAACTCCCTCTGACCGTATGTCAGAGATTAGACAGGTCTACCGTACTGTGTGTACACACATTTTACAGTTAATTCATCAGGCAGGACCTTCTCCTGAAGAGGAAACCAAAGGCTCATCACTGCACTGCCCTGCTGAGACTTCTCTGTTTCAGAAAAGATGGATTCTAAAACCTCCCGTTCAGTGAAAAACCAGCATGGGTGGGTTAGAGCAGTGCAACCACTGACACTGAGAAAATCTATTAGGATGCGCCCAAGCTCCCAGATTAAAATAAGAATCCCTGGTTATTATTTAAAACCACGGAACTCTGCTTACTGATCTCTGACCGGGCTAGACTGAACAAAATAAGACAGAAAATAAAAAGATTCACTTCTCCTGCCAGAAACAGCCTGGGGCAGAATTTTGAGATTCATCTTTGCAGACCTCAAACTCTTTTTTTACACTCTTTCTCTCTTCTGTTCCATGTGGAACTCACACTGTCCCTGACAGCCCAGACCAATCCATTTATCTAGAAAAGGCCAGCTAGTAAACACTCTGGAACCAGAGGGCCTGACAATCTCTGGTCACTGCTCCACAACTCTGCCATTGGGGAAAAAACCAGCCACAGACAACACTTCTGTGAAGGAACACAGCTGGTGTGCTGATAAAGCTCTACTTACGGACACTGACATTTAAAGTTCATGCAATTTTCGGGTGCCACAAAGTTTATTTTTCCTAACTATTTAAAAATGTAAAAACCACTCACAGGCCATTTAAGGGGGAAAAAAAAAAAGATATGGACATTCATAAAAGGTGGAGGGCCAGAAGTGGCAACCCTGCTTTAAAGAGTCCACACGTATCCATCCTCTCCCCACCCTCCCTCAAAATGACATGCTTCCCCCATTCCCACTGTGCCCAATACAGTCAAAATTCACCTCTCATCAGAACTGAATCATAAATGCACGATGCCAACTCAAAGAAGCCAAGAAAGGGTGAAACTGGCACACAGGTGGAAAAATAAACCACTGGACAGAGTGTCCAGGAACAGCACTGCATTCAAAGAAACCTGACAGGTGACAGCACAGCCACTGAATCTGCAGGGCTGGGCCACTCTGTGGTGCTGCTGCAACCACTTCCTGTATGGAAAAATGGAACTGGATCCTCTCCTGTATACCCAAAGAAAGTAACTCCGGATGCATCTAGGAATATACGTTCTTTCTTTGGAAGAAAATATGCAGAGAATGTCT